GAAGAAAAATATGCTATTTAAGTAATTGCATTGAGATCAGGTAAAATGTCAAATAATAATATAAATTCAAAATAAGAATTAAGATTTATGATATACAGGATTCCATCGTAAGCGTTTGTATTCGGAATGGCTTAACTCCTTCACGCTTACGACCTGAGCCACCGCAAAACTGGAATCGCGGCCGCTTAGCCATTGTTTTATTGTTATCTTTTGCCTATTAGATATTATTTATGCAACGCGCAAATATGAGTTGAAGAATTTATCTATTAATTACCCATTTTATTGTAAACTCTGGGGCTTTAACCGATAATCCTCTTATATAATTCAAAGGTGTATTCAAAATTACAAAAGTCTTGATATTTTGGTAATATGCAAATGTAAATCAGCAAGCGCATAATTCATGTAAGAACATTCTTGTGTCTAGCGTTTTCTCCGTTTCGATCATTGCGTGGTGTATTTCAAAAGATTCGAAGTTGTATTTTTCGATGTTCTTTCATGTAAAAACCTCAATTTAGTACTTTTTAACATTTGCAATTTTGCCTTCTCTATTTTTTAACATTCTCTGGTATTGGTCTAACGTTATTTTTTTTCAAGGTAAGAGGAGCACATGGGGGGCAGTGACTTTCTTACAAAAGTATTCGGTACCTTTTATCGTGAGCGCCTGATTTTTAAGAAGAAGAGAAGAAGAAATAAATAGGAAATTGTCAATGTTTATTCTTCTTTGTTAGTTAGTTCGTTTAATTTTACGTGTTTGATGGTGCATACAGTTACAACTTTTTGTAAAGTATTTGTATAAAAATGGGAGTTTCTAATTATGATGGTTAGTGATTATGCTTGGCAAAGACTAAAGTCTAACTTTATAGATATATATTTCAATTATTGTAGCGCTTCGCAAACAAGCAAGACATCTAGAGAATGAAATCGACCTGAAATTAGTTGCATTTAGCAAAATTGGTGCAGGCACCAGCACATCCCTTCATAGCAGTTCATCAACCGACACATCACCACTATTAGGCGAGCATGTCTTCGATTCTCTCTCGGAGGAAATTTCACAAATGCTAGACAAGGTAAAATGAAAACATTGAAATATTGTGTCTAATATCTAAAGCTAATTATATTATAGCTTACGTCGTTGAACGAAACAATGTCAGAGCTTCCTGCAACAGGTGCGGCTGCTATCCATACACTCCAGCGTCATCGTGAAATCCTGCATGGATATAAGCAAGAATTCAATAAAATTTGCGCAAATCACACAACCCGCATAGAGCGTGAAGAATTACTACGTGGCTCCGGGTTAGCCACAAACAGTCCAACTATTTCTGGATTAAGTAGACGCGATTTGTATTTGAAAGAAACTACTCATTTAAATAGGTTAGTGATTAATTTATAAAACAAAGTTCAGTCATGAAGTATATATATAAATTTTTTTAATTTCATTATAGTTCAAGTAACATGGTCAATGATCAAATAAACATTGCTATTGAAACTCGGGAACACTTACTTTCACAGAGACAGGCATTCAAACGATTGCAGACTCGGTTTAATGACATATCCAATAGATTTCCTTTGATTTCCAGGTAAGCATTCATATATTTTTTAAATATTCAAAAAGAAGAGTATATCATGTATAATCCTTCATTTCAGTCTCATACAAAGGATCAATATAAAGAAGAAGAGAGATTCACTTATTTTAGGTGCAGTTATAGCTTTGTGTGTAATACTTCTATTGCTCTATGCGTTTAATTAACCATTTTTTCGTTTTAAAATTCAATTGGGTTCAACCCAATGCAACCAGTCTAGATTTTAAACCACAAATTTCATAATATTGTAAACGTTATCCCGATATACATGTGTATGAAGAAAAGTGGATCTATATTTTATAATTTTTTCGAAATCAGTTAAATTATTTTACTTTTGTAGGGTAATAAATAACAATTAATTGTATTGTAATATGTGATAAAACAACGTTTAAATAAAATATAAAAAATATATATATTCAACTAAATCATCAATACTTTTAAATGTCCTAACTTTATAAAATATAAACGATTACATATTTAAAATATACTGCTTCAGTTCTCGTGACAATTTTCACCAAACATATTGAAAGAAAAGTTATACATGCGTGAAACCAAAATGATTGCTCACTCACGTGTAGGGTGGTTGTCATTTTAACAGCTGCGAGGAAACAGCTGACAGTGCATTTCGTAAGCCGCGCATGGCCAACAAAACAAAAAACCACCTAGTACAATTTATATTTTTATTGCAAATAATTGTTTTTCTATTAAAATTTTAAATAAAAAAATGGAAAACATACCCGCGGCACAAAAAGAAGATAAGCGTGTATTTTTTGAGAATGTTCAAATGGATGAAATGGCACAGCATTTTGTTGGGAACCTATATAGGTATAGTTGCAAGATCTTTTATTTCACTGATTCTGTTATAATTTACTTAATTTTCAAACATAGATACCGTGAAAATATAGTGGTCCCCTCGAGTAATGGTCCAATACAAATAAAAACGAATGAAGAGAAAATGATTGAAAAGACGGTAGAAAGCTGCGCCTTCAAGTCTATAACTGCCTGCGTAATGGGTATGAATAGCACTATTTACATTACTAATATAATTAGCTAATAGCTGGTTCTTATTTTGGTTTAAAGGTTATGGTTTGGGCGCCGCTATTGGTTTATTTAGCGCCTCGGTTAACCCCAGCCTCACAGACCCATTATTGCATGAAAAGAAACAAACAGCGCGTGAGATTTTACGAGATATGCGCAAAACAACACACGGTTACGCCAAGAATTTTGCCATGATTGGCATGGTGTTCTCAGGTGTAGAGTGCACAATCGAAAGTGTGAGTTAAAATCGTATATCATATTTAAATAATTATTTAAAATTACTCTTCTTTAAATAGTATCGAGGTGTTACTGATTGGCGTAACGGTACCTATGCGGGCGCTGTTACGGGGGGTCTGATTGGTCTGCGTGCCGGCGTTAAGGCAGGTATTGTGGGTGCTGCCGGATTCGCTGCCTTTTCAACAGTCATTGACTATTATATGCGGCATCGCTTGTAAAGAAATAGTGAAAAAGCGTTGAACTACTTTCCTATTGAATAATAAGTGTGTTATTGTTGTTAAAAAGTTTATAATAATAAAGAATCGATTATTATGGTGTAAATAGTACAGATTTGTAAGCAACATAAAGCTACAATAAAGAATTTCGAATTATTTATAATTTAAAATATTGTAATTCAACAAACTAACTAGATTCTTCACTTATACAAAGACAAATATAGATGGGATGCATATGTATACCATACAATAACACTTATTATTGTTATTATTGCTTATTTTACCCTATATTACACTATACTGTATGACAGAAATTGCGGTGTCTATGTTATCTTTGCTTATTAAAAATTGCACAATATTATACAAAGAGTTGAGAGGTTATCAAAGTACATAATCGATTTTTTGGTTTTTATTTATTGTTTAGAGATTTATAAGCATTATTTGAACTTTGCTTCATTACAAATCTTGCTCTTAAACTTAAGCAAAAGCTTGACGTCCGTCAATATTTTTTGTTTTTAAATAAATTGAAAATAAATGAAATCATGAATTAGAATAAATTTGTTAATTTTCCATTTTCTTCTAAGAACTATCCTATATAAAACAATTTTTTGTACGGTTGTAGGCTTATGTATACCATAAAGACAAGTTTGGGGAACGCTGGATAATTGATTAACGAAAATTTTCCCAGGTACTTAAAACATTAATTTGATTGCAAACAAACTTTGACATTTTTCTTCAGCCTTGTCCAACACGAAACCTAGTTACTTTGCTAACAAAAGTATATACAAACGTACATACATATGCACATTTGAAGGTGCATTCATAAATAAAAACTGGTCGTAAAGCAATTGTACAAAAGAAAAGGTTGATAAAATGCAGTTTAACTACAACGTGTAGGAATTTAATAGCCGCTGGTATAGGAAATACGCTCATCTACAACTCAGCGCTGCAAATATGAGCAAAACCAGAAGAAAAGCAAAAAAATTGCAAATTGCAGAATAGTGCCAGTTCACACACAGACTCTTTTGTATCCCAAACCGATTTATTGTGGCTCGCTGCTACCCTTTTCAGCATTCCTTTTCACTTTCAATTCCTTTGAATGGTTGCAAGAGCGCTCGGTTTCAAATAAATATATTTCATTCGTTGAGAAATTTGAATTCTGTTATCTATTTTTTGTACGTATTATGCAAATATGTATGCATAGAATAATACAAATATTTTTAATAAGGATAAAATTAAGATGTTCAAAAATATTCAATTTAAATTTTTAATAACATATAGCGGTATTAGAAGTAATAAAATAAGAGTATATATAAAAGAATTCTAATAAAAATGAAAAACTTTACTTTTTATATTTTCATAAAATATTAAGATGCTTTCATATTTATTTCTTTTAACCGCAAAGGATGTAGTTCGATATCATTATATTTAAAACAAGAATTGTAATTAATTCAAGGATGTTTTATAATCAATAGACAAAAATATGAAGTAAAGAAATTATGAATTTTTGATACTTAAAGATTAGGAAATTCCTGTTATAAATTTGGCCTTGAAAATATTAGTAGCGGGTATTCAATACATTCTAGTGGATTAGGGAATTCCCGACTTAAGTGTTTTTTTGAAACTATTAAGCGGGTATTATGCATATTGTTCTACCACATTCTTGGTAATTCATTGCAAGCAAAATGTGAGACCATCTCCCCATCATACAAATGAAATATGCAACACACTCTAAGTAAAAATTTTATGAAAAGGAATGACAGAAAAACTCGATTTGAGTTGCTGAACTCTCTTTGCTTGTGTGAACGCAGTAGTATACACACATGGATATGTATTTATAAGCAATGAACGTTTGGCGCACATGCTCTAAGCATCAAAATCCAAATCGAATTTAAAGAGATGAGTAGGTGCTGCTTAACTTGCAGTCGACCCCTTTGCTGCGGCTGACCGGTTTCGAGTTGTTTTCTGTATAATTTTGGGTACCTAAACGCCAGCAAATATAAAAAAAACAAAGGAAGCAAGTAGCGACAAATATAACCGCGAAGTATAGCAGCATCGGCGCTTGCAATGCAAGTAGCAAAACCGAAGTCACCAATTTTGTGGTCTATCCCACGCTGTGCTGGAACCATCAGTTTCGATCGAATGTGACGTGCGCGCCTTATTGCTGCTTTCTTTATTGTTTAATGTATTTTTATTATACCCGATATTTGGTTCATTAGGGTATTATACCTTTGGCTGACAAAGCTAACTGTTGTATGAATAAGCGTATAAATGGAATGAATTTAATGAGATTATGCGGGTTGCTGATGATGTGAAAAAAGTTAAACATTTTATTAGGCTCATTGAGCTCCCAAGTGATACCCAATTGAGCACCATTAGCAACTGGGTGGATTTGATGAAATTTAGGTCTTTTAACCTGCCCAGCTTTTAATTGGAACATTGTGTCGATTCCGCTTTATAAGCTTGTGAAGATTTGGGATTACCCCTATAATGTTGTTTAGTTCCTCATTTTCTAAAAGTAGAATTATTTTGGTCTGCCTATTATCAACACTACCACAAAGTGCTGAGATCGCACAAGAAAGTTAATAGACTTGTTGATTGGGCCATAAGCCAACTTGCCACATTCTCCAACATTCTCGCCCTGAAAAACTGACTGAGAAAAGTATTACCGAAATAATTTTGTGGAATTCTGCTGCGTTGACTTTGGTCCGCCTGTCCTGAGGACTGAGTACTAATTTCTCTTACCCATCTACTTACTATTCCGTGCCACCCGAAAATGGACTCACTCCTTTGTTAGTATAATTACTTGTAAGAGAGCTCGTTACTTGTTTGAGTGTGTGTACACCAAAGTTAAGTATTGTGTACTGCGTTTACACGGTGGGTGAGTACTGTTTTGTTTTACTTGAGCTTGTTTTGTATGGTTTTATATTTCGGGCACTGGAGTTTTGTAGCCAACAAGTGAGCGAGTATAGGCGATTGGATTGATCAAATCGTATACCCCTCTCGTTAGATATGTATTAACGATCGATTTTAATTTATTAAAAAAAGCTGTAGAGGATGCCTTAAAATTGAAAGATCTTCTCATGAGAATCATCAGATCATCATAGGTTCATAGGATTCGTCTCTTTTATTTGCAGAATATATTCAAGATACATTATATATATAAATATGTGTAGAAGATTAGACTTTGAAATGCATCTAATACATTTTGTCATTAAATTTATTAAAATGCCTTTCATTAAAAAAGAATTAGATTGAGATTAGTTGCGATGACAAGAAAACATTTTATAATTTAAAAACCTTTTGTAAAGCACATGAGCTTTCATTTTCTTTACATGGGCAATAGGTAAGCTTAGATTTGAAATTACTTATGTATGTGCTTGAGATGGTATCACAACTTCTTTGCAGCTCCATTTAACGTTTCAACTTGTTTTTCTTAATTTCTTTGTGCTTTTTGTTAGTGCTTTGGAGTTTCGCAGCGCCGTTACTGTTGAGAAGCCAGAGTCGATCACCGATCGTTTGTTTGTTCCGTATAATTCCAGTCTGCTGTTTTAGTTTGTTAAGTGACTCTATTGGAAACGGTCGGGATTTGTGGTGGATTTTTAAATGATGCTTCAGCAGTGTTTGCAACTGACGCCGATTTAATAATAAAGAAAAACCACAATGAAAGATGCGATACAATTATATGAAAGAGGAAACGCATTTCCGTTGCCGAGTGCGCGGGGGCATTCAAATGTGTATTGACGTTTATGTGCTTGTGTCGGTCAACCAATTAAATCTGTTATAAAATGTAAATATACATATACATACATATATGTAACGTATAAATAAAGTTAGCGGGAAAAGTGACAATTACCTATTTACCTTCATGGCACTTGTAACATAATTACTCGTTTGGCTACTTGTCTGCTGGGCAGAGTTACAGCGAATCTTTACAAAATTATTTTCAATGAATGTAGTTAAAGTCGTTCTGTGGTTATTTTCGAAAAGTAAATTCCCGCCTTTTCAATTTCAGTTTTAATTAATTTTCTCGTGCCTTTGTGGAGTCCCTCTAGTTGAACTGTATAGTATGAAATGTGGTATTCACAGTGACTGCTTTTTGAAAATTTTATAGTGAAATATTAAAATATGACAATTAATAAAGTAAATAATAATTAATAACAATGTATTGTGGTGTAAAGTTTACGACTTCATTATTCATTAAAAAAGTAGAGCTACAGCTGAAAGTATTAAGCCATCGAACTCCAGCTTGTCTTTGTTATTATCGCAGTTCCAGGTTTATTTGTAAATACAATTATCGTTTACTTATATAATTTGGATCTCGCACTTTAACAGATGCCATTCCGCCATATGTATTTAATACTTCCGCTCCTCAATCATTCATCTTTAAATATACCATACAGATACATATGTATATGTACAAACATCGTTCACCGTCTGTTGACTTCTATCACTTTTTTATACAGTCTTAAGTGGTTTAATCGCGCAGAAAAGTGCGAATGGAGCAATTGATCGGACTGCCGGTTTGTCAAGCGTTCAGTCCAAAAGTTCAATGGAACTAAGGATGACAGCGTTTGTGTCGGCGCCGTGTCGTAGCTTTGTTAATTGTATAGCTGATGCTGTGAGGAGACCAGATTTATGACTGCCTGAATTTTCATGTATGTGCATTTATCAATGAACACTTATGCATAAATGATGCATTAGTCATATTGCCTGTGCTTTTTCCATCTCCATTTGCGGGTTTCTGGTTTCTTCTCTTAAGTCATTCCTTTGCTCTCAATTCACATGAAACTATTGTTTTATTACAATGTCAACAATTAACGATTGATAGTTAGGGTTGTTTACATTTAAATGATACATAGTAAACAATTAAATTAAAATTTTATCTCGTTTAGGTAATGTGATTTTTTGTTGCGAAACTTTGTACAAGTTAAAAGTGGTGAGCGTCTTCAAAACTTAGATATGTCAGACCATATTTTTATCTTAGGGTATACTATAGATTCAATTTTAATTTACTGCGAGTGTACTTCAACCATGAAAAGGTTTGTAGTAAATCCTTCATTTGTCCATAAAAAATTCTCAGCGTAGTCTTCTTTTAACTCGCTACTTTTGATCCAGCTATCCTGCAACTTCTTTAATTCGTCTGAAAAACACGTTTTCTGGAGGTTTGCATTGGTAGTGATAACCTCCTTTTTATACCAGGAACAGGGTATATTAAGTTTGCCACGAAGTTTGTAACACTCAGAAGGAAACGTCGGAGACCCTATAAAATATATATGTAAATGATCAGCATGATGAGCTGAGTTGATTTAGCCATAATTGTATTAGAAACTTTTTTAATTGACGTAATATTTTCACGAAATTTAGCATGAGTTCTTTTCTAAGGCAACAATGTAATCTCTGAAGAAATTGTTTAGATCGGATCTATAGAATATAGCTGTCACACAAACTGAACGATCGGAGTCAAGTGCTTGTATGGGAAACTTTCTCATTTGACGAGGTATCTTCACAAGATTTGGCATGGATTATTGTCTAAGGCAATAATGCAATCTCCGAAGGAATTGTCCAGATCAGATCACTATATCATATAGCTACCTTACAAATTGCATGATCCGAATCAAGTTCTTTGAAGGGTACTATAGCTTCGGTGCAACCGAAGTTAACGTTTTTTCTTATTCTACTCAATCTTTCTTGGAAGCCATTTTCGGAGCTCCTAAGCCCGACTCATCAAAAACGAAAGCACGACCACACTGAAACTGGTTAAAACAATTTTTGATGGACACCGTCGAAGGATATGGTTTTTCGTTTAGTACCGAATCAATCTTTGATATCATTGTGCAATTTTCATTTCAAAAACAAAAATCGAGTCGAATCATTTTTGTCTCATAAACTTATTCGATATTCCTCAAAAGGGCAATTCCTTTCTAAGAATTTTGGTTGAGCTAAAAGTGGATTTGTACTTTCACACCTCTGTTCTCGTATCACCTCTCTTCATAACAGAATAATACACTAATGATGTACATACTTACATTATATATATGTACTTGTACATGTATTTATGTACATATATTAGCAAAAGTTTCTCGGTTTGTACTTTTTGTTTACCTCTCGCCATTCGACAAGCTAAATTGCTGTTCAAGCAAAACAAAAGTAAGACGAGACTGGTAGACATATGTTTTGTTGTGTATAATATACCATATATATGTTTTATTGTCTGTTTTTATGCTGTGTAAAATGACTGCTGCCTGCGCATAAAGTGACTGGGAGGGATAGTAAATAATTAATAATAATTTTTAAATGGACTTCCGCACATTTTCCACGCATTTTGCCGGCAAGCATATATTAATGTCTCCATGTATGGTTTTTTTTTTGAGATATTTCCTTTCTTGAATAAGTTTTGATGGGACCAACATACTTGAGGAAATGTTGGATAGATATATACAATTTTTAATAAACCTTATATTATCAGGTCGATTTACAACTTAGTATTAGAACACTGATTCATTTAAAATTAATTTTTCGAGTGATTTAACAAACCTTCTGGGTCATATGAACATATAATAGAACTTGTATAGAATACCACTAGCTTCAAGGTACAATAGATCGATTGGTAACCTGAGTTCAGTAGCTAAACCCAATAAAGAAATTGAAAACAATCTGAAGGTATTATCGGTGATAGCGAGGGTCAGTGAGAAGAGCCAAACTTTTGAAAAAACGACAAAGGCATTAAATTTATCCGCATTAAAGGTAATACAGTAGGTTTGAATGTGAGTCGGTATGAAAATTGGCCAATGAACGTGACACCGTCCACTTTTAGGTTAAATCTTATAACTCAGCAACTACTAGACCAATTTGAATGAACTGCAAATGAAATTCTCCTTATAAAATAAACGAAATCGGACAACTACTTCCCATATGACGGCATTTTCTACTTATAAAACAGATTGGATTCTTTCACTTTATATAATAGTTTTTCGTCTTTCGTCTTTCACTTATCATAATAGTGATTCTATGGTTAAGCAACTAAGCATCTAAAACTGGTCGTGATCGGACAATCAATTTTTAGGTAACGAATATAATGAGCTCCGAACCTATGCCTGAACCCTTAATGTGTTAATGAAATTAAGAAATTCTAGGATACATACATATGACATATATGTATGTACATACATATGTATGTATAGTGCTGGCCCAGCATCGTATAGGGAAATGAGGTTAACGTATTATCTTGAAAGTTTGTAGATTGCGGGCGTAAATCGATCTATTATTTGTCCTAAATAATATATACCAAATATATAGAGATATGTGCTATTGTTGGCTTTATGTCGATTATATCCGTTACTCTGTGAGTCATCGCATCAAAATTGGGTGCAAAGATTTTCATGAGCATACTTTATGGTAGTTTAATTCTTGCACATTGCGAGAGCATACATATATTATTCGGTTGCACCCGTACTTAGCTCTTCTTTACTTGTTTCGTATTGTGTACAAATGGTTTAATCTGGTCGTCAAAGCTCGTTACTCTTAAACTTATTGAGTTTAATTTCAAAACTTAATATTAACGTTGAAACTTAAGTTTGGTAATTTTTTATAAAATTTTATAAGAAATTATGTTTTATATAATTTTTAATATTCCTATTATTTTATATTTCTCCGTAAAAGCCGCTTACAAAAAACAACCTTGTTTATGCCAAAACATTTACACTAGTATATGTGTTCGCTTATCAAATGAAAATAAACACGAAATGGCTGCGATAACGTTGTTATCTGTGTTTTCTCTAAAATACTTTTACCTGCTCATATACGAACGCTACAGAACATTGTTACCACAAAGAGGTAGTTCCTTAAATTGAGGGAAGAGAAAACCTTTCGGTGATTTCGGTAAACGTTGTGCAGTGAAACTAGCTCATCCGTGAAGAAGAAACGCGAGGATGAACAGTATTGAAATTTAATTAACAAATTCACATTCCTAAAAATACAAAGAAATAACAACAAAAACGAATAAACACTCAAAATATTTAATAAAGCGATAGTATTAGTGAATAATGAGCACTAAATAGTACAATATATTCATCGGAAGAATACTGTGTGATATTATGAATTATACTAACAACAAAATTATTCATATGTACTGAGAATCCACAAACTAAACTCGCAAAATATTCAAAATGGATTATAAATTGATGTTACTGGTAAGTTTGAGTTCAATATTCATCACTATCTTAGTTAAATACCTGCTAAGCCCCATGGAAAGTTTATTTACTGCTGCTTTAGAAGTGAACAGCGATACCGTCGTTGTTTCAGTTGTGAACCAATCAGTAGGTCTAACCAGCCGTTTAAAAAAGTTTAAAAGTTTTCAAAACCCTATATATAAATGCGATATGCTCATCTTAAACTTTGTTATCACTGATTAAAGGCGGGAATCATTAAATCGCACAGGGTATTTAGCAAGGTTGTTCAATAATATATTTATGTATGCGATGTTTAAAGAACATAACTTAAGTTTTAAAAAAAATTTAATTGTCTAATTTTCGTTTCTACTGATACCAGAGGAGAATATAAAAGTGAAGAAAATGTGCTCGTGACTCATCTACAGCTATTTATATTATAAACACGAACAACAGGGTTCAAGTAAACAGGCTGAACTTATATTAGATAAGCTATCAGCCGCTAATGAGTTTATTGGAATTTTTTTTTTGAATTCCTGTGTTCACCTAGTGGTGGTCGCATTTTTTTAAGAAAAATAAACCAATACCTTATACACCTAAATCACTAGTTGAGACGACACTATACTTTATATCAATACTTTGAGTTTGGCAATATATAAATTAAGATGCTTTTGACGCTTTCACATAAAGAAGGAACGAGAGCCGTAATTTTTATATGAAAACGCATTTAGTGTCATACAGATTCTCAAAATTTGGGAAAAGTATTTTCTAATAAATTTTCACACTATTTCAGTACAGATTTAATAAAATAAATAAGTAAAAATCATACAATTTTATTATATTTCCATGGGTGTTTAAATAACAAATTATATATGAATATATCTTTTTCAAAAATCGAAACAAAAATATTTTTTTTAACTTCAAATTAAGGATTCTAAAAAACAGGTCGTCAAATAAAAGTATAAAATTGCAAAAAATTCAAAAAAATTTAGCTTAAAAGTAAATTTAATAATTAGTATTCCCACATTTGCTCTGCAATACTGCTCGAAGACGTTTTGGCATGCTTTGAACCAAATTTTCTATTATTTCCGCTGAAATATTGTCCCATTGACGCTTCATCTCTATGAAGAATGACTGCAAGTTTGTGCGGCTGCTCTTTGGTATTTTGGAGTCCAAAATTTACCACAAATGCTCAATTGGATTTAAATCTGGCGATTAAGCTGGCCGGTTTAGTTTTTCAATGAAGTTTTCTTCAAAAAAGTGAGTAGCTAGGCGAGATTTGTGTTTAGGATCGTTATCTTGTTGGAAGAAAAACGATCCCAAATCCATATTTTCCGCACTTGTTGTCAAATTTCCGCTAAGAATGTTAACATATGTAGCAGCCGTTATTCGCCTATCGATTTTAACTAAACTACCTACACCGAATTTTGAAAACAACCCCAAACCATGAGAGCACTGGTTCATCCTGTTGATTGTATGCACTGCGGTTTTAAGCGATCAGAAATTTAACCCCACACTCGCTTTCGTTTTTTTGAATTCTTTAGCTCGAATTTAGACTCATCGGACCATATTACAATACTTTGTCCCAAAATGTGGTTGTCATGTTTAGATATTGTTTTGCGAACTCCAGTATATTTTTTCTATTCGCAATTGAAATGAAAGGTCGTTTTTTTGCGACGTAGTTTTTCAAACCAAAAGTTCGTAATTTCTTTGCATTGTACTAATGGAAACATTCAAACCAAAACTTTCAATCAACTCCCTCGATGAAATGAAGGATTTCGACAATTTTTCTACTTACGAGTCGCTCAGAGTGTATAGAAATTTTGGACCTCCACCGTACTCAGTACAGTCTTGCATGTTTTCCTTTTCTTGAAAATTTCAAAAATTTTTCTTGCTCGTCCGATCGAAGTGGAATACTTTTCAGATATTTATACCCTGAACAGGGTATATTAATTTTGCCACGAAGTTTGTAACACCCAGAAGGAAACGTCGGAGGCCATATAAAGTATATATATAAATGATCACCGTGACGAGCTGAGTTGATTTAGCCATGTCCGTCTGTCTGTCCGTATGTATATACGCGAACTAGTCCTTCAGTTTTTGAGATATCGATCTGAAATTTTGCACCTGTCCTTTTCTAACAAAGAAGCTGCTCACATGTCGGAACGGCCGATATCGGACCACTATAGCACATAGCTGCCATACAAACTGAACAATCGGAATCAAGTGTTTGTATGGAAAACTCTTTCATTTGACGAGGTATCTTCAAGAAATTTGGCATGGATTATTATTTAAGGCATTAATATAATCTCCGAAGAAATTGTATAGATCGGACGACTATAGCATATGGCTGCCATATTAACTGAACGATCGGAGTAAAGTGCTTTCATGGAAATTTTTTTTATTTGACGAGGTATCTTCACGAAATTAGTGAAAGAGTTGCTTAAGGCAACAAATTATTCTCCACAGAAATTGGTCAGATCAGATCACTAAATCATACAGCTGCCATACAAATTGAACGTTCGGAATCAAGTTCTTGTAAGGGGCCTTTGTATTTGTGAAGGGTATTATAGCTTCGGCGCAACCGAAGTTAACGTTTTTTCTTGTTTTTGATTTGTTTCACTGTTCTTCCTATTTTCTACAGTTAAGTTCCGAATTTCTTCAGTTTTACTAATTTTTCACTAAGACCAGAACATAAATATATTTATCTCAACAGAAGTTCACTTTATGAATGCAAATTTATCAAAGCTGTAGTAAACTTCAGTCTTACCTTGAAAGAACTCAACAAAAACTAAAATTATACTTTCATTTGACGCGCGCGAATTAGCTCACTAGCAAAGACTAATCACTCTCTATTGAGTAAATATTTTTTGCGTATAAATCATATTCGAACTGTTTATTTACATAACGGTACATCTTCATGGCATGCTTAATGAATTAACCTATATGGGAAAATGTAGAAAGTAAATTAATACTGTGAGGCTGCCAGTAAGTAATACATTTATACTTTCATTTGATGCCTAGTGTATATGGAGATACATGAATGAACTATAACTTAGGTATGTAGTCTAGGTATAGGAGTCTAAGGGAAAATCAGACTGTTTGATGTTTAATAATAATTTAAAAATTATTTTTGGCTGATTAAATATTTTTTAAATATAATATAGTACAATTTATTACCGCAACATACCGAAATACCCTTAACTATTAACTTAAATACCTATAAGTTTATTGTAAATTGTAAAATATACAACTTTGATTTCGTGCTGTAACTACTCCGACACATATACAAGAAATACTGTTTCGAAACTGATAAATATGCATTAATAAGGAATAATTTAGTCGCATTGCAAATATTCATTTGTTTTACGTTGAAAATGAATGGAAGGGGGAGGTACAATGGAAACTTAATTTGGAATTTTAATGTAAATATGGAAGGTTAACATTATTATTGAATGACTGTGAAGTGAGATAATAATTTAACTTACGTAAATAAATATATATATGCTAAAAACGAGGGTGGTCCACTATTGCAAGCGAAATTTACTATCGAGTAGATTTAGACGATTACTTCAAATTTCAACCGTTGTTTGGGTTGGTGTTAGAAAAATAGCAATATTAGCCAGCGAATCCTGTTTTTAAAGGTTAAATCGCTCAATGACTCTTATCCTTTGATGGCGACCGTCAAAACGTGGTTTAACAAGTTTTACCGTTGCCACACGTCGGTTTTTAATGAGCCAAACCCAGGTGCCCCGAAAATACTTAATAATATAATATATTTATAATGTCTCCGATATATTCTTCCGGGTGTTCCAAACTTTATCTTTAAAGTACAACTAGCACATTTAGCGAAGAAAAAATTGTCCTTCTTCCATGACCAAATTGGTCGAATTATGTTACGAACTGTGGCCCTGTCCGCCAAATTTTCCAGATTCCTGTGCTATATTTTTTTGTTTCCAAACTTGAAAAAGTTACTCACCGGGTAGAAATTTGAGTCGAATGAGAAGGTTATCGCCGCAACGGAGGCCTACATCGCAGACCCTCATAAAACATATGTTTTAGGCGAATTAAAAATATACAAACATTATATTTATACTTATTAAATATGCACTTGTTTTATTTTATTTTATGTTTTTTTTCAGCTACTGTATTTCGGCGCTGTAGTGTGGCTTTCTTCGGCACAGCATGAGAATATACCTTACGAGGATGTGAAAGATATTTGCGAGAAGTGTGTGTGCTTAACGGCACATGACAGTGATAAACGATATCATCATTTACTAAGTTGTACTTCAAAAAGATTCAAGCACATATTGGCACGTTGGCCTACTGAGTTCGGAAAAAACCACGACAGTAAGCGAAATATTTTGAAAATTGCTTTCGAAACATATATTATATAATAAGTACTTCGTTGAATATCTTTTAGATGTAGACATTGTGGCCACTTTCTCGTACAACAACATCGAACTACTGCAGCAATTGCCAGCCACAGATGCTCAACTCACCTTTTCGTGCCGTCATTGTGGAATCAAGGACTTGCAAGAGCCCACATTCATTGATGTACCTAATATACGGCGATTAGATTTGAGTTGGAATGAAATAACCAGCGAAGTGCTGACACCCGGCGTATTTCGTGGTCCATTTCAACTAACGCATTACGAGCACATAGAGTTAGTGGACCTAGATTTAAGCCATAATAAATTACATACGCTAGACAAAAAAGTATTCGAACACACACCAAATTTAACCAAATTAAATTTGAGTTACAACGATTTGAAGGTGCTGAATGAGCTAACAGTTTTGGCATTGACATCGGTGACCGGCTTGCAGGTTGGTACTTTATTCGATTATTATATATTACCTTATAAGCTCCTCACATAGGTCATTTAGTTTACTCAATTACCAAATTGTCTCGAGTACCGTGTAGAGCGAAAGTGGCTATTTGTCTAACTTAAAGGGGTGTGTTAACTATAATTGTATAATAGTATTAAAAAATATTTTTTTTTTTGTTTCAGGAACTGGATTTGTCACATACCGCTATTAAGTCAGTGTCGATGTCCATTTTCAAATCGTTGGTGAATTTACGTATTTTGAATTTAGCTGATAATGAGCTGACTAGAGTGCCTGATAAGCTGCAATTGATCGGCAGAAGTCTAATTTCGATTAATTTGGCACAAAACCCCATTGAGCGTTTTACTGAAGACAGTTTTATTGGTTTGAAGTCCTTACAGAATCTGAATATAAGTTATATGCCGGTTTTAAAGACAATCGGAAAAGGCGTATTCACACGCTTAGAAACTTTGAGACATTTGGACTGTGCCTATAATGCAAAATTGACAGAATTCGATATGGGAAGCCTATTGTATAGTAGTAATCTAACTGATGTGAGTATGAGTGATGTATATGTTATGTATATTACGGCGTCCGTTATTTACCAAGTTGATGCGGAAACGTTATGTTCGGTTGCACCGGAGCTAGAAGACTCTTCACAAACAAATTGATTGTTCAGTTTGTATGGCAGCTTTATGCTATGGTGGTCCGAATTGAAAAATTTCTTTGGAGATTGTATTGTTGCCTTGGTCAATAATCTATGCCAAACCTTGTGAAGATACCTTGTCAAATAAAAACTTTTCCATACAAGGACTTGAGTTCGATCAGTCAGCTTGTACGACAGTTATATGTTACAGTTGTCCAATCTGAATAATTTCTACGAGATGTAACGATGACTTAGATAATAATCTGTGCCAACTTTCGGAAAGATACCTCGTCAAATGAAAGAGTTTTCCATACAAACACTTGATTCCGATTGTTCAGTTTGTATGGCAGCTATATGCTAAAGTGGTCCGATATTGGCAGTTCCGACAAATGAGCAGCTTCTTGGTGAGAAAAGACGTATGCAAAATATTATATCGATATTTCAAAGACTGAAGGAATAGTTTGTCTAAAAACAGACGGACAGACAGACGAACATGGCTAAATCGACTCAACTCGTCATGCTGATTATTTATATATACATATGTATACTTTTAGGGGTAGCCGGCGTTGCATAAATTTTTAATAGCCATTTCTGTTTACAGCTTGACCTTTCTCATTGCGCTCTGACAACAATTTTACTCTTTGTGAATATAACGGATGAATCCAAAACTAACGTCACCGCCAGACCTTGGACTCATCTTCATACATTCAAAATTTCTGGAAATCCTTGGTATTGCAGTTGCAGTCTCATTCAGACTTTGGAACATATAGGTGCACAGCAAAGCAATGCGGATACGCCACCGCGTTGTGATACACCCTATTTCCTCGCAGGCACTATAATACCCAATTTGACTTCACAGGAAATATGCAATTTAAAAATACCAAAAAAGATTGTAATCGAAGAAGAAGAGCCGCCGAAATTCTTGCGAAAACGCTATATTGTATTGACGTTCATTACTGCAGCTGTGGTGGTGTCAATCGGCGTGATGCTCGGATTTGCAATTGCTGGTATACGTCGCAGATTGAAACGTAATGATTTCGGTATTGAACCAATACGTTACACTAGTGTGAGGAGCAGTAACTTATCGGCCTTCTCTAATGGGAATACCAATTCCATTGTTGTCAAAGGGAATGGAGCGGCCAATGACAATGTTTAATTACTGTTATGAATGTAACGGCGTATATTTGTACAAAAATTTTCATAATTTATGCATCTACCTTCCTATTACTTATTATTATTATTGCTTATTATGTACATATGTACATAGGCATTTACGATAGTGATTTGTTTAATATTGTAAATTAGTGCACTTTTTTTAAATTATTGAGTGATAAATTCACATATTAATACCTTTTAGGTATTGCCTACTTTTCAGCTGACCAAAATAGTAGGATTATTTTACCAAAGATGTTTGTATGTAGTTCGTATGTACAGTATGTATACCTATAGAGAATAACAATTTAATAATATCATTTAATCATTTTTGAACAGAAACATGTATTTATTATAGCTTAAACACAATACGGGCGACGACGAATATTCCTCGTATTCGGCGACGCCGTCGGTGACAAGAACACACGATTGTATATGAAAATGAACACAAAACGCGACAGCGGCGAATTTCGCCCACCATGACGATTTTTGAGATAGAGATATTTCTAATTTTATCGCCGAACGCGGCGATAAAAACGGCATCACCATATCAAAAAAGACAGATATCTTTTAAGTAAAAATCTTAAGGATTTTCAAAATAAATTTAAGAAAATGTCTGCGTTGGCAATATTAAGATTGTTTATGTTTGGTTTCGTCATTTGTCGTAATATTTTTGAGCGCGGAATATACAAGGTGCGTTCCAAGGTAAACAGTAAAAAAGTAACAAAGTAAACTCTAGTGGCGCCATCTATATGTCGACTAGTGCGTTAGAATCTGTTATTCTTTATCGACTTTCAGTAAAAATTTTCTGACATTTCCTCTATTGGAAGTGAAGTTATTGAATTTTAAGTGTCAGTATGTTTTTGTCATCGGTGCGAAAATGAGCTTCGAACAAAGAGCCAACATTAAATTTTGTTTTAAAATTGGTAAAACTTTTACCGAAACGTTTCAATTGATGAAACAAGTTTATGGCGATGATTGCCTATCCCGTAGCAGAGTGAACGAGTGGTTTCAACGTTTTCAAAGTGGTTGTGAGGACATAAATGAGAAATGAGCCGAAACCCAAAAAATCGCGCCTGGCGAAGTCAAAAGTGAAGACAATGCTGATTTGTTTTTATGATTTTAAGGGTATTGTCCACAAAGAATTTGTTCCATCCGGCCAAAACGTTAATGAGGTATTCTACCTTGGAATTTTGCGTTTGGCGCGCCGTATTCGACATGTTCGTCCCGAATATCGCGAAGATAAAAGTTGGCGTTTGTTGCACGATAATGCGCCGTCTCATCGATCGGCGCTTGTGGCCGATTATTTGACCAAAAATCACATTTTAACAATCAACCACTCCCCGTATTCACCTGATATGGCACCGTGCGACTTCTACCTTTTCGGAAAAATGCATTTGCCGATGAAAGGAAAGCGTTATGCAGACGTGGAGGCCATTCAAAAGGCTTGCACCGACATACTGGCGGCCATACCGTACGGTAGGATATCCGCGAAAACTGGATTTTTTCATGCAACGCAGGTTTGCCAATCTCGATAGTTTGTAGTAATTAAAAAATTAACTTGAAAAGATTTGAAATATTCTTAAAATAACTCAAAATCACAGTCGAATACACTTATTTATAAATATGTTAACTATTTTTAATCGTTGGATTTTAGTTTTGAGCTTTTACATTATGAAAAATTATAAATAAAAAACTAAATGTGTAAAAAATCGTGTATACAAATAGAACGAAGGCAACATTGGTGAAATGAAAACAAAAGAGAGCGACTGAGTTCTGCGTTGCAACTATGGGCATAACTTTTGATAAATTTGGTTTGATACGTGCGGTAAGTAAGGAAGGGAGGAATGTCGGTGACTGTTTGTGCTATTACACGGCGGCAACATTCGGCGAAAATCCGTTCGACAGCGTCGTCGAGTACGACGAATATTCGTTGTCGCCCGTATTGTGTTTAAGCAATTATATGTAGCACAGACTCTTATGACTCTCGTTTTCGGCAAATTCTCTTTTGGTGTCGCTCTGTACATTCACACGGTCAAAAAGAGTCCAGCAACTCGAGTCTAGTTTTTCTGCATTCCTTTTCACAAAATTTTCGTAAATATTTGTGAGGTTCGACTGCGCTACACTTAGAGCGTGTTGCATATTTCAGTTGTATGTTGGGATGGTGATCCCATATTTTGCTTGCATTAGCATAAATGTGGTAGAACAATATGCGTCATACCTATTCGCTTAATAGTTTCAAAGAAATACTTAAGACGGGAATTCCCTAATCCACCAGAATGTATTGAATACCCGCTACTAATATTTTCAAGGCCAAATTTATAACAGAAATTTCTTAATCTTCAAGTATTAAAATCCCATAATTTTATTCGAACTAAATTCTTTGCGGTTATGCGGTATGTTATTAAAATTGAATTTTGAGTATCTTAATTTTCTCCTTACTTACAATTCTTCAAAATATTCCTATTATTCTATGCATACATATTTGCATATCACATACAAAAAATAGGTAACAGAATTCAAATTTCTTAACGAATGGTATATATTTATTTGAAACCGAGCGCTCTTGCAACCATTAAAAGAATTTAAAAGTGAAAACGAACGCTAAAAAGGGTAGCAGCGAGCTGTTACGAACAAGAACACAAAGCTTGCCACCCGAAGACGAGACGATGACAAATGCTAAAATTACAGCTATTTCAATAAAAGAGAAAGTGCGCAATTGTTCCATTTTTACAAAAAGCAAAATACTTTTTTTTTTGAATTCGAATAAAAAACAAGTAAAGAAGGGCTAAGTTCGGATGTAACCGAACATTTTATATTCTCGCAAAGTCAAATGGTATACTCGTTTTGGGTTTCTTTGCGGATCTTGCCGCCTTGTTCTATGTTGTCCGATATTTTCAGTAAAAAGTAACTTTCACTTCAAGTCAATATTCAGTACCTAGCGGCTTAAAGAATTGTGGTTGGATTTAGACAATTTTTGCTCAATAAGTGGCATACCTTAAACGAATCATTCACGCAAACTTTTACGCCGATATGATCATTGTTGCTTGATTTGCATTTTTGAAAGTGAAAAAATGTACAACAAGTTGCGAGAGTTTATAAAATTGCTGGGACTTCCAAATTGATGAAAACTCTTTATGGTGATGATTGTATGAGTCCTACTCAAGTTGCATTGTTGGAAAAGTGCGTATTCGCTTGATTTTTCACCATGTGACTATTTTCTATTTCCAAAACTGAAAACCAAGATAAGAAGAGCATTTTATGATGATATTCCAGCCATTCAAGCAGACGTATTCGTGATGATGAAGAACATTTTTATAAATGACATGACAAAAAAACCTATGTGTGTGCCGGTTGGTCGCTCCAAACATCGTACTGAACCTATTTTGAATAAATAATAACTTTCAAAGATAATATAATAAGCATTTATATCCAAAAAGTTCGGTTATTTTTAGGACACACCATGTATGACTCCGAATTGAACTTATCATTAATTTATATGTTTTATGTTAAATCAAAATATCAAAATCGGCATTTTTATTGAAATTCATTTATTTTAATTAAGTAGGAACTATAAAATAAAGACCTTTAGAACTTTTGTGCTTTAGGAAAAGTATGAAGGTGTGCTGACTTCAAAGTTTTCCACTCAGTATATAAATGAACGGTTGTAACAGTAAAAGTTAATGATAAATAAAAACTTAAAAATAAAAGTAAAACTAAACAAGAAGCAATAAAAGTATGAAGCTTGAGGCTAAGCTTATCAATTCACAGATAAAAGCGCACTGGGCAGAAAAGGGTGGCAAAGTGCCGAGTAAATAGTAAATTAAAGGTTCCAATAGCTTTATATCATACATTTGGAAAAGCTCGTTTGAAGCTTTCAATACATACATATCTACCATATTTGTTTTTAATATGTATTATGTAAAACCAAACACCGCCTGTAAAATTTGCTAAAAAGCTGATTATCGTATATATATATATATATATATATTTATCATCCAACTGCATATCTACTTTTTTATCATATTTACAAACTTCAGAATTATAATCTTTAGAGCGCTTATTATGTGTATTTACGACTCCTAAAGCAGCATACTATTCAATCGTTGAAATTTTTTAGACAGTCAAAATTTCTTAACCTGTAATTACTTTTCATTTGTGAATTAGTATTTACACTCGAAACGAAAAATGTGTGTAAATATAACTATAACTTTTAAATTATATATGTAGATATTTGCTAAGTAAAATGCACTTGTATTTTCGCCTTACCAAAAATGATGTGCAGAATAAAGACTAATTATCTAATTGCCTTGCTATTATCGTCACCTTTTAATTGCACAGTGTTCAAGCGCTTTAGCATTCACTTTCCATATTTCTTCATTTCCCGTTGTTGTTATTGGTACTGTATCATCCAGTTTGAAGATATTGATACTTTGCTTTTGTGACAAAAAATTTCGCATTTCGCCAAAGTTATCACGTTCCTTTAACACTTTATTGCTCCTTTGAAATTCCAAGTCTGCTGATCCTTCGCTATCGCTATCGCCATCAGCACTATGATCCCAGCTAATACTCCTTTTGTTCTCTACATTCTTTGTATTTTTTCTTTACCAAAGAGTTCTTCTACATTAATACCCTTAGCTGCCAACACCTGACGTTCTTTTTCTAGCATTTCACTTCTAATTGGATCGATGCGATCTTTCAATTGCTTCAAAACAGGCCGAAATTTCCCTTGCGTTATTCGTTTCTCAAAGTTTAAAATTTCCATGTCATGATCTATTTTGGTTTGAGCTGCGGCCTCAGTTTCTTGTTGCTCCTTCTCGGCCTGTGCTTGTTGTTCATCGTACATGTATGCATAGAAATCATCACGTTTACTCTCATCATTATAATTTTGTGAAATTTCTACACGTAGAATACTTTCGGGAAATTCATCATTGTTTGTTGTGTTATTTTCATTATCGGTCACAGGAGCCTGATGTTGAGTATCCAGTTTGCTATTCAAAAATTTATTATATACCAACATTAGACGTGAAAATCATCGAAGCACACAGATAAAGCGTTTCAATACCCCTCATATTGTTGGCTACTTGAATGAGTTGCTTGGCATTGTCCTTTGTTCCCCTTCAGTTTCGGTAAGTCGTTGCAGTGTAATATCGAGCGCTTGACACTCAGCAGCAACAGCTACCATGCATGCACTCAATTGAGCGAAGAATTTTGCAGTACAGCGATGGACTGTTTCGGGTTTGTATAGCTTTTGTGACATTTAACATCTCTAATTCTAACTGTTTCTTTTATTTATCTCCATAGCTAAATTTTTAAAATGATTTTCTTCCTCCTGCACTAGTTGTCGAATAAGACAATCAATTTTCACTAATTCACCATTCAATTCACTGATGGAGGGTTTAGTTGAGATCGTAAGTGCAAGTCGCAATAAGAACTGTGATTGCACATACGCAAATATATTGTGAAAATCCTAAAAGAAATAATTTTCAAATAAAACTTTGCAATAAGAATAAAATATAGATACTCACTTTAATGTGTTTGGACTGTAATCGGTGACGTTGTTTTTAAAATATTCACATTCGCGCAACTCTTCCATTTGTGAGTAGAATTGTGAAAACCGTACAGGCAGTGGAT